AAATTTACTTTACATCATTGAAAGGAGAGACCATGAAGTCTCAAACTTCAGAGTTTTCATATATATGAGGTTATTATTAATTACTATTAATGTTATTAATCAGTATGCAAATAAACGCTTTACTAAAAGTTTCCTGATCAGATTTCTCTAAAATTTCACTAAGAAAGCTACTATGAACTATAACAAATATGTTACATTTAATACAAATGCCTCATTATGAAAAATAATAACCTTCAAGTTTTAGTTTGTGAAAATCTCATTTAAATCTAATGTAATGAAGGAAAACGAACTGCGCTATTGCAGCACATTAAAGCCCTATAATCAACTTGATAATGGAATAATAGTGATGCATGCAGTGCGTATGCAAAAGTTTTAACCCCCAGGGTCTGATTACATGTTTTGTTGATTTTGTAAGTAAAATAAGTTAACACATCCTCTAACTCAGCCCAAATATGCATTGCATTTTTCTGCAAGCTTCACTGCTTCATTTCCATGTAAAAAAAATGGGTTTTAACTTAGAAAGCTAGTTAAAATTTTGAGTTCAGATCATTTCAAGTGGTAAGACTTATTATAAACTTATTATATCAAGTTTAATTAGCTCAAAATTTAAGGCAGCTCGGTACCGTTTTTAAATTAAGTGGTTTAAAAATTAAAATTAAACTTATTATTATTTTTTTTTATTTGTATTTATTTTTTTACATTGTTTGTACTTGCTGAGTTGAACATATTGAAATAAAATAAAGACGAAGTGTTCCATAACTGTCACACAGGCCACATTTTACACAGCAAAATCCACCAAATAAATAGTATTCTGCATTGTTCACTGTAGATGCTATGCTTATCGACTTAGTAAATCAATGTAATTTGTTCATTTGCAAACTTTTGCACAGGACCGTATTTCGTATTTCAGGCGACTTTTTTATTTTCCAGCTTTGTGGCGAATATTTGTTTTTGTCCATCCTGCAGATCAGGCTCGTGCAGCGATCACTCAGCTGATAAAGAGCCCCATCACTCCGTGGACTCTGGGAGAATGTGTTTTTCACAGCTCTTCTCCAAACAGTGTTGGTGGTTTTGAAAAACACGGGGGTGATTTGAGCCTCTTTACAGACTTTGAACAATTCCCGGAGCTGTGCGGAGCAGGACTCGGCCTGCATGCTTCAACTGTCCTGTAAATACTGATGACCCTCATTCTTTCATTTCAATAGAGACGAACGCAGTCCAGCTCCATCACTATTGCAGGAAAGTGAAGAGCAGCGCTCACCACTCTAAATTTAAACTAAAAACGTGGCTGCTTTTTTCAGTTAAAATATAAAAATACAACATATTATTGACGTCATTAGAACTATAATTACAGAGTTAATGATATGCGCTAATTGAGGGGTGAAGTTCTGGGTTCTGGCGCCCGTGAACATCTAAACGCTGCATGTATTTGCATCACATTTACACATTCAGAGTAACTTTCATACGCTGATAAACACAGCGTTGCTTTGTCTTCAGTAAATTACAATTCCAGTGGTTCGCTACAGACTTGTTAAAGGGGAATTCCAGCGGTTTTTTCAGAATTTCAGCGCACGTCGGTGGTTGAGATGTAAACAAAGTCAGAGTTTTTTGATGTCAAATGATTTACAGAGAAACTTGCCGACTCAGATTTACAGATATCTCTGATGGCAGAAACCAGGAGTCACAGTGTCTACAATGCAAATATAGTAATTTTATTTACAATCCAAAACCACCAGTGAACCTACCCGTGCCTTCTGAGTTTGCACATGTAATGTTGAAGACGGTAAAATAGTGGTCAACCTGAAAAAAATACGTAAAACAGTGTCTCAGACATCAGACAGTGTATTCACAGCCATTTTATGTAATAACTGTCTGTGATGTAGCTTTTAGAGGCGTTAAACTCAGACATCTGGTTCTAACACACTCTAAAAAATTAAGCGAAGTGTTAAATAAAAACACAATAACTTGTGTTACCCGTGTTTGTGTCATATTATTTTCTGATTTACCACATTCTGTGTTAAAAGCAACACGAAATGTGTTATCTGTAACTGGGTACAGAAATATTTCAACACATTTTATTAAAAGTAACGTCTCCAACTGAACACATTGATGTGTCTATTTAGAGACAGAATGTGTTGTTTTTTAACACATCTGTTTTAATGTTTAATTTAGTGTCCTGTTAACAATTCTGACTCTTCAAGTTTCTCTAGAACAGAGCATTCCACATCAAACCACTCTGAATGACTGTTGACTCATTAACCATTTAATTATGCAGAATTTTTGAAAAATCGGTGGAGTTCCCCTTTAGCTGTTTATGTGCCATAATCCAGAGCAGAACGCTAATACGTTTAAAAGGTCGGTCTGTTTATCTGGCTTGCGCTTTAATTCCCTAAAGACTGGAACAATTAGGGGTGACTTTTGCAAGGTTATAAGATTAATATTAGTAATAAAACAACCAAACAAACAAACAAATAAATAAACATCAGTGTAAGTATCAATGTATTTCTTTGAATCCAAAATTCAAACAGCACTGGTTTAAAGCGTATATTCAGTTTTATTTGTAGCAGTTCAGACGAATGGAGACCGAGTAAGAAAAACGTGTTTACTGCTTATCATAATCATAACCTCACCTTCACGATTCCCTTCTCGATTTCAGAGATTATTGTGTCAGATTAAATCATACACCGACGAAAAAAGGCTATTCTTTTAATTTTGCTTTAAAATGGTATAAATTGAAACTCAGATTAAGACGAGATTAACACTGATCAGCCGAATGTGATCTTGAGAAAGAGAACATGACGATAGTAAAACATCTGAATCATTTCTACAACAGAGCACTGGTGGTCTTACTGCAGCCTACAGTGCAGGTCTACAGTTTACCCCTTACTGTGTGATCAGGAAGATCCACAGAATGTGCTCTGATTGGACGTGAAATTTTGTATAGTTGTAGGAGGAAGATCTGACACATCGTCACTGTCCGAAAAAAGGATCTCCAAATTAGTGACGTTACAGTAGAGGCCAAAACTTTATTAAGTTTTAATGTAAGTTAATCAGATTTAAGAGAGATGTTATTCCAAGCATATTTGGTCCATTCGTTGTGAAATTTACACACAGTGTAAAGGGCAGCTGCTGGGCTCAAACGAGGCAGAACAAAAAAATAAATAAATAAAAAACGTTTTTTTTTTTGGAAAGTGACGATTTGTAATACGTATTTTTACACGTTTAGGTTTTACACGTTGATTTACAATCAAATTTGGAATTTTTTACTGTTTTGTTATAAAAAAAATACTCACTTCTTGGCCATCTGGCTTGATCAATTTGAAAAAAAAAATCTTTTTCAGGCAAAGATCAGAGAACATGAGGACTAAAACGGGCTAATACGTGCAGCCGAGATCAGTCAGCTCTCTCATTTTTCTGTCCCACTGCTGCCATCTTCATCTAGCACTTCCATTTCTCCACTTTTCTTTTCTGATTTAAACGCCAGCGCAGCAGATCCGGGCTCTGACTCAAACACTGCGACTCCTCACATTTCTCCGTCTTTAATTATCCTCCCTTTATTACTTCACTCAATAAATGTGTGGTCTTACTCTGGCTGTTGACCTCCTTTTGAAATAGTCTGCTAAAACTATTACAGGTGAAAACATAAAATTATGATATTTTCTTTCATTGTTTCAGTCAAATATTGAGGTCATCAGATTTCACTCCGGTCCCCTGATCAGGTTTCTTTGGCCTCTCCGTCAGGATTCACTGTTGCTGCTCTACAAACCCATCTGGACATCATTTTCTCTCTGGAAAGATTATGCGCAACAGGCCATGTAAGCTTATTATGTAATTACAGTTTCAGTAAAACGGCAGTGTGTGTAAAAGCTCGGAGCTCACCGTTTTACCTCCTCCTCTGTGTTTAGTGTGTTTAGTGTGCTGTGACGGGCTAATTTTGCTTTTGTATCAAACAGCGTTTGAACCTGTTTATTTGCTCTCAAGATTTGTTTGGCTATTAAACCCAGCAAAGAGATGAGAGCATTGTTTATGGTTTAGTTTAGGAAGATAATCTTGGTGCGAATGTATATTTTAGTATATTTATGTGAGAACGAAACATATTACAGAATATTACAACGGCCAAAATAATCAGCTTTACAGCTTTAAAAATGTGATTTTATATTATTATTTTTTGCTACATTATAATACGTTTTATATGCTAAATTATTATATAGTAATAAAATAATATCCTTTATAATGTTTGTTAGCTAATATTTTGTTTTGATTAATTCATTACACTGAATTAAACTGATTATTAAAGTCAATTTGGAAATTTTCTATTACTTTCTTATAATAACTTTTATATAATTAGGCATTTAATGTGCTTCTTTTATCACTGTTTGGCCACATTTACCATCTGATTTATTATTATTATTATTATTATTATACACTGAAACTGTCCTGTGTAGTTACTAATTTATTAAGCTGTTATTAATATTTAATAATGAATAACTTTCGTTTTAAGTGAATAAACGCTATACTGGGCCACTGGCTAATAACCAGTAACAAATGAGCTAATGTGATATTTAATCAAGGTCTTTTATTTAAAATAAGTGCTGGTTTAACATGGTCCCAACATTTTCAATAGAGTATCAAAACAGCAAAAAAATCAACGAAAAGAGGTCTGGTGATTTACCACTGTTTCTTTCTGTATAACAAAGATATTTAACCATCTAAAGATCCTCGGTGGCAGGATGCTAAACTGCTAATCTACACTGGGGCAAAAAATAGAAGGAGCTACTTTAACGTTCACAGGAATCATACAAAAGACATAAAAATAATAATAACAACAATCACTCAACTCGCTGAAGATGAACCGACAGAAGTCCAAACACTTTTTTTTGGCCCATATAGACTCCAAAACCCGCGCGTTCAGACTCTCCGCACAAACGTCCTCCTGCCTGAACTTCGCGCCTTTTTTACGTGTCGTGCATAACGAAATGTAGAAGTGAACCTTCAAAACAACAACCAGAAACCGAATTCGACCCGGAGGCGTTGAAGAGTAACTGAGCACCGCTCCGCTTTGGTCAATCTTTCTCTCTCTTTCCCTCCCTCAAATGTCAATCCGCGCGTGCAACGCCGAGTGCTTGGCCTCGTGCTCCCAGTACGAGTAGAGCTCGGCGGGCTGGTGCTGAGGATGATGAGGGTGGTGCGGGTGGTGATGAGGATGGTGGTGGTGGTGGTGGCTCATGCCGTTGTACGAGTTCATGACGTTGGGCAGCCCCACGGCCTGCATGCGGGAGTACGGGCTGTAGGCCGGAGCCGTGAGGCCTTTGACAGCCAGGGGGCTCACGCTCGCGCCTCCTCCTCCACCTCCATCACCTCCTCCTCCGCCGCCTCCTCCGGCTCCTCCGGCCCCGCCGTTGCCCATCTGGCAAGGCGCGTAGGTCACGTGCGGCGGCGGCGGAGGAGGCGGCGGCGGAGGCTGCGGCTGCCCGAGCGACCAGGTGCCGTTCATGAAGCCCGTCTGGATGTACTTAGGCGCGGGCAGGTAGCCGTAGCCGTCAGCACCGAACAGGGCCTTGCCCGGCTGAAAGTGCGAGGCCGTGGGCGGCCTGAAGGGCCGCTTCATCCGCCGCCGCCGCCTGTAGTTCCCTTTCTCGAACATGTCCTCGCAGGCCGGGTCCAGCGTCCAGTAGTTACCCTTGCGCTCGCCTCCGCCCTCGCGCGGCACCTTGATGAAGCACTCGTTGAGGCTCAGGTTGTGGCGGATGCTGTTTTGCCAGCCCTTCTTGTTCTTCTCGTAGAAAGGGAACTTGTTGATGATGTACTGGTAGATGCCGCTCAGCGTGAGCCGCTTCTCCGAGCTCTCGCGGATGGCCATGGCGATGAGGGCCACGTACGAGTACGGAGGTTTCTGGGACGGGTCCGTCTTGCCCCCGGCGCCCTGCTCCTCCTGCGTTGTCTGCTCGTCTTTGGTGAAGCTCTCGGCCTTCACCGGCTCGCCGTCGTGCGCCATCAAAGCCATGGCGTCATCCTCTAAGCCGTGGTAAGATGCCATCACGCCTGGAACAAAAGAAAACAGAGCAAAGACATCAAAACAAACAGGTCAGTTTGGCAGAGCAGAGTCACCTGGGGATGCTGAAGCCAAACATCCAAAAACAAAACGAGAATCGAGGCATTTTTGGTTGTTACAAGTGAAAGATAAAACCAAAACAGCCTATCAAAAAACAAAACTGCTAAAATAATAATTTAAAAAAAGTTTAAAAAGCAGGTCAGTGCATCTTTGGAAACACAAAGACAAAATACGAAACTAAAATCCGAAACAACAAACAATATGAAACTAAAATCCAAAACAACATCTCTAGTTGATCATTTTAAGATCTTCAACATAATTTGTGAAAAGATTAAAAAAATGAAAAAAAAGAAAAAAGAAAGAAAATAAAAAAAAACGTAAATTTAAGCAGGTTCGCTCGTTTCTTACAAAGACCTAAAACCTAAAGCCAAAACAACAGAGCAAAACAACCAAACTCAAAATGGAAAAACGCCAGTCAAAGCACCTGTAGTTGCTACTTTGAAGACTTGAAACATAACAAAAACAAGGCAAAACATCAAAACAAAACAACCCAAAAAAGGGAAAACACCAATCAAGCCACCTGCGGTCGCCGCTTTGAAGATAAAACGGACGCGGAGATTGTTTTCCAGCTTTACGTACCTGATATTTAGGAGTTATGTCTTCTTTTTTGCATGCCTTCAAACGGCCTGAGCTACTCAAGAGCCATGGAAGTCTTGCTGCGAGTCCGCAGTGCTCTGTTGTAGCAGAGGAGAGGGCTTTTTTCTCTCTCTCTCTCCCTCTGTTCGTCCCGCTCTTCTCCTCCTGCTGCTCGGTTCCTCTGAAAGTCTCGTCTCTCCTCGCGCTCCTATTCGCCGTGTTCCGCTTTCGTCACTTTCTCTGTCATCCACTTACAGCCTCGATCGAGCTTCAGTCCTCACGCGAGGCTTTTTTGACCAAGAGTGTCACACTTTCCACAGCGTTACAGTGTTAGAGCTGCAGTTAACACGTGGAGTGTAGAGGATCTTAGTTTAGAGATTAAAACACTGAGATGTTCTATGCTTCACAAATGCACGTAGATTCTAACGCAGAACTGCAGCATGACAGATCTACTGACTCTGTTTACGCCTCGTTACTCTTAATGCAGCGCTTGTTTGTGTGCCGGTAATCCGGGTAATATGCTCAGTTTATTTGTATATAAGCCTTATAGCATTTAAGCCTAATAAAGTCTGTTATTTGGTGATAGTTATCAGCTCTGAGTAGTGGGTTCTTTGACGCCCCTCATGCAGGTAGTCTGTTCGGCTGTCTGTCTGTCTGTCTGTCTGCTCTCCTTTCTCCTCTCGCGCAGGTGTAACAACACTGTCCTGAATGTCAACACCTTTAGCTGAGAAAAAGGTAAGTAGTCAATCCAGGCATTATTTAAACTCTCCGCACCAGTAATAATAATAATAATAATAATAATAATAATAATAATAACAATGGCTACAATTGCTATTATTATTATTATTATTATTAATATAACTTCTACTACTCTGCACAATGCAATAATAACAACAATGAAACCAATAACTACAACAACGACATTACTAATAACAACAACAACAACAATAATAATAATAATAATAATAATAAAAGATGTTATATACAATTCAATTTTATTTTTTAAAACAAAATGTATTCATATTTTTATTATGTTTGTTGTTTTATGTTGTTATTTTTACTCTGCATAATCCTACGAGTATTAGTACTACTAACAACAACAATAATAACAATTATTATACGTTGTTTATTATTACAGCTTATAATAAACATAACATATATAGTTTAGTTATTCAGTTCACGGATAAATTTCTCCATAATCTCCTACTTTTTATCGTAGATCAGTTATTTTCCCAGTTAAACTCAAACAGAGACTAAGCGCTAATGTATTATGAGCACGTGCACTCACTACAGTGATAAAAGCCACTACAGAAGACGAGCACCATAAAGATCCTGAGTAATCATTGAAGACACAACGAAGACTGGTCCGTATGCGGTGATGAGGATTAAAAGAGCGCAAAGACAGTGAGGTGTCGCATGCGCAGAGAATCGCGGAGTTATATGAGGATTTAAAGCGCCTTTCAAACTTCCTGCCCTGCTCTTTGAAATGAGGATGTTTACGGTTCAGAGTGCAAGAATGCGGAGGGACAGGAGGCTGCAGGCCAGCAGGACAGAGCACATCTCTGAGCCTGAGCAGAACCATGACTCAAGCGTTCAGAAGGCAAAATGAAAGCTTACATCTACCACTGATGGCTAAGTGCTGTCTATATTTCTGAACATGCTATAGTTATTTACGTTTAAATGAGCAAACATATTAAACATATTAACGGATTAAAACCTTTGAGTGAACTCTGGGGAAACGTATTGCAGTGTACTGGACACATGAATCATTGCCTTTTGTTTTTACTAATGGACAGCGCTGTCAGTATTAGTTCTATACAGATGTGCTGTGCAAAACGTCAGAGACCAAGTTATTCATTTTCAGGAGAGATTTCTGAGGAGATGAGATAAGATAATCCACTTGAGCAAGGAAGAGGAAAGTGAAAGGAAAATAAGTGAAAACTGGAGTTACAAATCTGGAGTTCAAACCGTTATTAAAAGAAACAGAGTACATGGGACTCCTAACAACTGTGCAAGACCTGGTAGACCACTAACTGTGCCCATTTGAACAGTAATTAAAGCTTTCATGAGAGGAGAACATCAAGGTCCACTCTTGCTTCAGAAGTTGTTTCTGTCCATCCTTCCACTGTGAGAAGACAACTCAGCACTATGAGTCTGAAAGGATGTGTAGCTGTCCAGAAGCCCTTAATGAGAAAAGGAGACAAAATCTGCATATCAAACAAAAAAACCTGGTTTAATCAGAACAATGCACTGCCAACCCCTGAGTCCAGACCTCAACTTCTTACTTGGATCATTATAAACAGAAAATGCAACAAACTTCTGAAGAATTTTGGAGGAGTAGAAAAAATATCCCTGCAAATTTGTTTGAAAAGCTGAAAGCAAGTGTCCTGAAAAGAATGGAAGCTTTAACAAAGGTAAATAAAACGTCATGCTGAAAAAAAAATGGCATCATATTTAGTTTTTGAAGCTTCTGTGTAACTTCCTGTTAAATATGTTTCCTGCTTTTTTATGATGCTGAAAAATGAATAACTTGTACTTAATAACTAGAAATGAATATACATAGATGAATAAATAAATAGCTAGATAGAAAGGAATGGACAGACAGACAGTTCTTTATTGATCCCCCCAAAATTTGGGTGCAATGGGAGTAGAGGTGCATGGGTCACTGCGTACACTTATAAGTAAATACATTACCCGTACTGCACATATTTCCATATACACAATGTGCATCAGTGCACAAACATGGCAAAGCGAAGACACATCAAGTGGCACATTCACATTCAGCAGTGTGTGGAGTATTTCAGGTCAATGTGAAAATATTGCTGTATGCAAAAATGCAGTGGTGTGCAGTATACAAGTTATTGTTTTATGGTTTATGGGTAATAAGATTTAGCTACATTTAAATGACTGCTAAAGAAAATGAGTTAAAATATATAGCTGTATGTGTTTAAGAGATACTGAACACTGAATGCAATGAAATGTTGAATAGGAGACAATAGCAGCTGTGCTGAACTATACTGAACTCTGTCGTAACTCACTACCTCGCATTTCCTTCATGGAAGAGCACATAGAGGTCTTCAAGCGAATCAAGTAAAGCCTTACTGTTGGCCTTTTATGTTGGCCCTGGCTGATCCTTCCCGGCCCTAATGAACGGGCGGGGGCTTCCTCACTTTGTAAAGCCCAGGATTGACCTCGGCCTTAAATTACAAAGCGTGCTACAAAGCTCATGGAGCAGCCTGTGCTCTTCCTGAAGGTGCTCGCTGTTGCTGCTGTTTTGAGAGTACAGGCCGTGTTTGCCTTTCTTATCACCCACAGGAAACCTATGGGAAGCTTTAAGCCATTCTCCCAACAACTCGCCTGTCAAATTACTATAACGCATTGCACTGTGAAAAAGTGAATCATAAATCTTTAACACATATTACATGAGGCTGAGATTTTGTTCAGTTTCTGTGATTAATACTCCAAAATGCTCCAGGGATGAAAGATAACAGGAAAAGTTTCTCTTTTTTGTTCTCTAAACACCATTTCTGCATTTGTTTTTTGGAGCAGGGACATCCCCTTGTCAAAACAGTCCAACTACGTTTGCTGTTTTGATAGATTTGGTCAATGCCTTGTGGCATTATTCCACTGATGATTATCGTTTTATTACTTGGTCTCAGGCACACACAGCACTGCAATGTAGCTCATCTCATTAAAGCCTCTAGTCTGAATTAACCCTGTGAACTCAACTGACCTACTATGTTTCCATTCTTCACTTCTACAACTTAAGAGTAGCTCATTTTCTGATAAACTGTTGGATATGGAAATACAATATCATTTAAGGGGTTAAAGAGAATCTCTGTCCATAATGAAAAATGAAAACATTGCTACATCTGTTTTTAACGTTTTAATTGGCGTACTACAGCAGTGCCATAGTAGTCTTTGGAGTGAAATTTTCCAGTTTGAAGACTAGAAAAACCCCTTTCTGATGATGTATCTTGAGGGTGGGAAAAACATTTTGAAAAGCTACAACTGTTTTGGGGTGCATTTTTTTGTGGTGGGCTGTTTTGAAATGTTTTTCTCTACCATGCAGAAAGAAGGCAGATAGCTAATGATACTTCTAGGAAATTGAACATCTTATTGCAACCATGTAAGTATAGATTACTCAAATGACAGTACTGACTCATCAGACAAGGACAACAAGCTAGAACCTGCAGTTAACAAGATTATCTAGATACCATAGCTTCTTTTCTCTGACTGTTTTATTTACAATTGTCAATAAGGTAAGAGTTACACTAATGCTAACTTGGTTGTATTTATTGCCCTATAGATCAATGGTTAGTCTAGCAGTTAAGACTGGTTGACACCACAGGGATTCCCAAAGGTTGTATGATGCAATGCATGCAAGGTATCACAGAGAGAGAACACTGATGAAAGAAAACATATAAAATGGGGAATTCTGTCAAACCATTGAGGCTGGGAGATACAATGCTGCACTACAGAATACAGCATAACACGACAAATAACATATTAAACTATAGTTTTAAGTCAGAATGCCCCTTTAACTCTTACAGTATTGAATTAATACTGCTGGACCAAGAAGCGGGCTTTACATGGTGAAACCTTAATGCAACTTAAATTGCTTGAAACCTACACTAAACCAAATTGTTGTAATATAAAGCAATCCTCCAATTAATTTGAAAATCAGCTGCATCGGTTGCAGGCTTCTCAACTCTGTCAAACCAGCCAATCAAACGCGTCACGTGATCAGATTGAACGGCACTTTCATAGCATTGATTTCACCAAAACAACGGACAACATAGAAGATGGTTGATTGGGCAGTTGAAAATGAGACCCCTAGCCCCCTCCAGACTGACTCAAGATTGGTAGTTTTTACGAAGCTAGATTCATTTTCTCCTTTCTTGATGCCCCCTTATTTTACACAGAGCTCAGATTCATTTGAGATCCAAATTATGAAAATTACTGAAGAAAGTGAAAATGAGACTCATAGATTAACTTGTGCATCTATGACACGATGAGTGAGACATCAAGTAGTATACGTGTATCAGCTACCTAAACATTAATTTTCGAAGGCATGACATGCAAACGGTAAATATGCATATAGTAAATAACCATAGATAG